AGATACTACCCGAGACTCACCAGGGAGGCCATCGAAATATTTAAACACCAAAACAATTTCAACAGAAAAGAAGAAATTACGGCACTCAATCCAGATTAGAAGCGCGTTTTGCGCCAAACAGCATGTGCGCCGAAGCGTTGGAACCCCCACCCATCTCCCACGCATGAGCACACACGGCTGGGCGGCATAAATACGACTGGGGATCCAGCAGTATCATTCTTAGTCGGAAAGCACGGGAGATCACTTCGCCCACAGCCTCATCGCCTTTGAAAATGTCCACCGCAGTTGTGGACGAAACGTCAGGAAGAAATTCCTATAGACCACGGCTTCAAAGCCCGGAAAACATTCCTAAATGTAATAGAGCATCTGTTGGATATTCTCTAGAAGTGCATTATAAATTGCATGCATTCTTTTCTAAAGCCCGCTGTTGTTTACCAGTTTTATATATTTTTGTTTTATTTTGAAATGTGGCTCTGGTAGCAAAAAATGCTTTCAGCGAAATGGCAAAATACGAATGTTTTTCGTGAAATTTAGGTGGGGGGCAAGTGAACGTTCTAAATAAATAATATGAAAGTTAGATCAAGCTGATGAACTCGAATAAAACATTACAAATAACTACTTAAATGTAGAAAAAGAATAAATATCTACTAATAACTGTCCCAGATCTTTACTAGAAAAACAACGAAAAATGAGAGAAGAATAGTTTTCGTCCTACGATCAGCATTTTCACCAATTCAATAGAAAAATTAATATGCACATTTTTAACTGCTTGATCGTTTATTAATTTTGTTTAACATTGACATTTTTTATTCGAATACTTCAAAAAATTAATATTTTATTGTTCTCTTTAAGATCTCAAAACTGATATGTAGTATACTATAGGGATGGTCGGTATTTAACGTAACCGCTGAAATACCAGTGTTCCAAGTGTACAAAGTAACATGTTACTTTTGAAACCGCATGTTGAAAACTAATACCAAAGTGAAACTGCAACGTTGTAACACCTCTAGTGTAGTAAGGCTTTGGCTCCAATTACATGTTGTCAAGATTTCTTGAATGTTTTACTCTAATATTTGTTTGGCTTTAAGCCGCAACCTACATTTTTTAATTTTCGTCTACATTTCCGCTTTCCGAAAATTGCATTACTGAAGGAAAGAATAATATTATATGAATTATTCGGTAAATTAATCAGTAACACTGATATTTATGCACAATTTAGCTTCATACGCCTTTTTCAGCCAGTTAATATTTTCAAAAAAAACTTAATATCTGTTAGTTGAAAAATGCTGTTTTAGTATATGGGTAGTATAGAAAATGGAAACTGTGGATACGTTGCACAAAAATTTTGTTACAGAAAAGCAAATATTTCAAAATTTTAGGAAATGTAAATGTGTGTTAATTAATATGAGAGGAAGGAAGACAAGCTAATTAATATGAGATCATAGTTCAAAAATAAAAAAAATCTGATATTTACGATTTGAGCACTTACCATCAGGTTCAGTAAGACTATATTGTCCCTGTACAAAATCTCCATTTCTGGTCTCGATCTGAGCTTTGCTGTCTCCAGTTAAGCTGTCCTGAACGTCGTAACCGAAAGAATATTGCGGATTTACATCGTAAGTGGCATCGGATAGCCGAGCTACAGCAATAGGAGCAGCGACTGCTGGTGCAGCTAAAACACGTGCAGACGGGACGATCACGGCTGACTGCACTAGTGAAACTAGACCGATGAAGCAAAGCAAAAACTGAAAGAAACGAAAAAAATGTATACAAGATGGAATAGTTCGTAAAATTCGACAAGTTTCTGAAGAATTCAAGAAGAATTCTGATATAACACATTACTTTATGAGAATCTTATTAGCCAGTTGGGTGTGGTAAAGAAGAATAAATTTATTTTAAATGTACTTTTTCGTTATGGTGTAGAATGGATTAGGGTTGCTGAATCGAGAGCTTGCTGGTATGACCAAAATTATGATTAATACACATCATTTAAGAATGTCAATATAAAGAAACATTGAAAAAGGAAAACAGGTACTTAAACAATGTAAAATTTAAGTAGAATGGGAAGTTTGCTCTTTCAAGCAAAAAAATGTAAAAAGCACACTACAACACCGAAATATATTGTTATGTATTTCGTGCATGTATGACAATTTTAGGATTTCAATTTTTGTCGAATGAAAATTTTCAAACAACTATCTAATTACAAAACTGTTATGTGCTTATTTTCAAAAACCGATTACATTAATGCGTTTAAGCAATTTAGCTTAATGACATTAGAACTTTAAATTTGAATCATTCATTTGTTTGTTGGACCATCTTGTTAATAAAGTCAAATTTAATAACAGAAAATATTCAAAACCCAAAAGGAAAACTACACGAATCAGCTGACTGAACCAATTGATTAGAAAGCTTGCACTTCTGTTAGAAGATATAAGTATTCTTAACAGCCTTTTGCAAGCATTTATTTCCTTAATCGCTTCGTTGGAAGATTGGCTTTCTTAGTTACACAGCATCTACTTGCATAAAGATAAATGCTCTCTGAAAGAAATGTTCGAATAAAATGAGTTTCCGTCCTGAAATATTTTACAACTTTAATTGAATTTTATAAGTGTGGAATTTCTGTAACTAACAGTTGTTGATGTGCAGTTCGTTGAGCTCTAAAGCCATTTTCTCGAATCAAAGTTTTAAGTTGCTGATAGCTAGTTTTGCTGGTTTCGGATATAACATAACATGACACGAAAAGCTCATATGTCTCTATATAATTAATTACTTTAGAACAGATCTTGTCTTATGAAAACTAAAAATTATTGCCGCAACAACCTAATACCTGTCACATGCAGATTCTATACAAATTCGTCGAGTATTCGATTTGAATTTCAATGTATTACAATGGCCTAATCGTGTTTAAACCTACTAGACATAATAGAAATTAGTATTCCCATCTCGATGTTAGGCGGTAATAAACGTTGGGTCGTTACTTTAATTATTGAGGAGTTACGACAACGGAATGTGTTAAGGCTGTCTGCCTGTAAAGTACGTGCAGTTTTCACATGTATCGTGGAAGAAATCAACTAGGGTAATCTAGACAGATGTAGACAATGCACAATATTACTAAAAGTTTTCGTCGTTAGCCTACGTTAGTAGAAAAACTCTATATAAACTTCATCCTTTAATTAAATGCCGCGTTTCGAAGCCAGCTTTTTTGTTAATTAAGTTAAAGAGTAATTAATCTCTTAACAAAGTATGTA